AACATACCCCCAAACCCTATTCAAATTATCAAGGCCCCCACATTAGCCACACGACTGTGCTGAAGCATAACTCTTTACGCTAAGCGCTCAACTTGGCAAAGGACCTTCTTTTCCCGAAGTTTCTGCTTCCATGTGTCCTGCCCTGCGAGGAGACGGCGCTGTTGGCTGGAAACAAGTCCACTTGGCCGGAGAAGCTAAACCCTAAACCCTAAACTGGAAACAAGTCCACTTGGCCGGAGAAGCAGGGAGTGGGGAGGAAGGGCTGATGTCGGATAGCTCGGGTACTGCCCCCACACTGCAATTGTTTATGTTAGGGGTCGTAATAAAGGGCTACAAAAAAAATATATATATATATATATACACATACACACACATATGAATTATATATATATATATATAAGCAGATAATATGAATATTCTCGAACTGCTACAGAGTGGCGTCGGTACCCAGCGGATAGCTGTATCTGGCAGTTTCCAGCTGGCTTGGTGAAGCCCTTTGCCTTAGCACACACCGGCTACCGAAACACGTCCGAGGTAAAGCGGCTCTATGGGGAGCTTGTGCCGGAACGATGGCCCTATGCGGTCGGCACGCTGCATCCCTGCGTTTCACCGGTAGATAGGTCTCGTGAGGTCCAGGGGCAAAGGCCCTTAGCCCAAAGTGAGCCCACGATCACCATGGCCCGATACGGGTTATGATAGACTAGAAAAGATCATAGTGGAATAGGTACAACGAGTTTTTTCTGAGTTTTTGTTCCATCAAGTAAGGAGTTCCTCGTTAAGGCTGGCATCTAGGTTTGTGCGAGGGTCCCTTTCCTTCCTGAACTTCCCATTTTATAGGGACCTTAATGATTACCAATACTATTTTTTGGCGGGGTTACTTATTATAACTATACTATAAAGTACCCTAAACCCAAACAAAACCCTAAACCCCATTGTAATTATAGAGGCCCCTACATCATCCAGAGGCCTCCCTATGGATAGCTGTGCCCGCAAGATCGCGACGAAATGGGACTCGGTCGCCATGTGTAGACTAATGAGAAGCAAGACTGCAGAAGCACCTGTGAGACGTGCAGGGAACCAAAAAGCGCTGGCTTAGGGTTTTATATAGGGACCTTAATAATTACCAAAACTGTTACGTTTTAGCATATCATACCCCAAAACCATGTTTTAATTATTAATGCCCCGACATTAGGGTTTAGGATCCCGCAGCCTCAAAACCCCAGCAACCCATATCCGAACCCTGTCTCAGCCTATCGCTTGAGGTGCGCCGGAGCTGTCTTTGCAGTCCCGCCAAACCCTGAAGCCCAAGCCCTTAACTGCAATGGCTCTGCGACTGTACATTGAACCCAAAGACCTTTCCTAAACCCTATACCCTAAACTCCTAAGCCCTAAACCCTAAAACCCTAAACCCTAAATCGTACGTGAGTTTAGGGTCCTCGATATAATGCAGGTTTATATCATCAACAGTAGGGCTCCTGGCGTTCGCCGTTTCAGGGTCCCGGCGCTACCCAGAGAACCCAATACCCCTTAATTAAGGAATAGACCTCAAACTATAGGGTCCTTAATATTATGATTTAAGGTATATTCCTTAATTAAGGGGTATTGGGTTCTCTGGGTAGCAAGGCGAGAACGCGGAGTCCGTCAGTGCTGGCTTGCAGGTGAGCGCCTCAGAGGGTTCCACCAGCGGGGTGAGTTGCGGGTTCGAATATAGGGTTTAGGGGTTGCGGTTTGGGGTTTAGGGTTTAGAGTTTTTCGGTTTAGGGTTTAGGGTTTTTCGGTTTAGGGTTTGCGGTTTGGGGCATTATTAATAATTAATAAGTACCAATACAATTTCGGGGGCTTCCTTATTATAATTATAGTATAACAGACCCCAAAACCCTATGCTAATGATTCAGGCCCCTACACTATGCGGTTTCATTAGGGTTCAGGGTTTAGGGGTTGACAAGGGTTCTATACGGCTTCATAATCAGGTTTATACAGTTTCGTAAGGGCTTGTAAGACTCCACAAAGTCATTGGTTTTTAGGGTAGAAAGGTTTCTCGTCTCTGCTAATGAAGGTCTTAACCAAAAGACTTGCAAACCATTGAAAACCCCTAAACCCCAGAGGTTCACTTGGGTAGTTACTTACTTCTCTAAATTAGGCTCCCTTTTTAGGCCCCCAA